TTTTAACATGAGAGGACATCTCTCTAGGAGTTTCAAGGCTTTCTGGCATGACTCTATGGTCAACTTCCGCTGGATGCTGATCATAAAATGACATTGAGGAAATAGAGATTCCTAGAGAGGTGACTCAGAGACTTCTAGGTCTCTGAGTCCTCCAGTATGATCAGAGGACACTGACTGCAGAGTCACACTAGACAACTTAAGAGATTTATGGGAGAACAATTTTTTAAAATCATTTCCATGAATAACACTATGTAACATGACAGATTTTTCTCTTTTCTTAAAAGAAAATATTATTATTATTTAAACAAAAAGGAAAACAGTGATATACATTTACAAACAGAGCACACAACATAGAGAGTCAGTAACAAACACAGTAGACAATACATTCCTTCCATCCACGCACCTGTGAACCCACCTCTCTGGACTTCCATCCCTGCTCACTATATCTGTTCACTATAATACTTATCCATAGAAGTTCCTTAAATAGTAACACTATTTTCCTGGGTTATAAATGTCATTTCCTAAATTGTTCTATCATAAAAACATGAACAAAGTTTATTAAACTGGAAAAACTTTGTTTTTGCAGGGCATCATGCAGCACATTTTGCTATAATTTTTCAATTACTATCTCATAGAGTCTCAACCAATTCAACATAGTTTATGGCGGCCATGACAACAAAGTTTCTGGTGTGTAACAACTATTTCAAAATATGTACTGCACAATTACACAGGAAATAACACTTTCAAATCAGAAACAGGTTTTTTTCCAAGTTTTGTTACATAGTGTAATCCGGTGGTTCCCAACCTGTGGGCCACGAGACCTAAAATAAGGTCCGTTGCTCTAGATCAGGGGTCCTCAAACTAAGGCCCGGGGGCCGAATGCGGCCCTCCAAGGTCATTTACCCGGCCCTCGCTCAGGGTCAACCTAAGTTTGTAACGACTTGAAAGCACACAACAACAACAATCCTATCTCTTCGGCCAAAAGCAGGTCCACACTTCCCATTGAAATACTAATAAATTTTTATTGGTTAAAATTGTTCTTCATTTTAATTATTGTATTGTTTTTAAGCAGTTTTTGCACTACAAATAAGATATGTGCAGTGTGCATAGGAATTCATTCATGTTTTTTTCAAATTATAATCCGGCCCTCCAACAGTTTGAGGGACTGTGACCTGGCCCTCTGTTTAAAAAGTTTGTGGACCCCTGCTCTAGATTATTAAATATAGTTTTCTTTGAGTGAGCAGATGGTGATTACTGGATGACATATGTTCCATATCAGAAACTAGAGCTGATGTGGTCTATCCAATGCAATTTTCTGAATCAGCACCCCAAATAACCAAACTGAATCGAAAGTTGACCAAAAACTGATTTGTAACCCTTTTGGTACTAGTTGGAGAGTGGTCCCTTGATCAAAGTGGTCCCTGGTCAAAAAACGGTTGGGAACCACTGGTGTAATCTAATCCTCCAAAGTCATTATTACAAATGTGGAGGGACAATTGTGAAGGTTTGTTTCCCTGTAGCCATTTTTTGTCATGTTCAGAATATATGCTTATTTTAATCACACAAATGTCTATATCACAAAAATAGGAACATCTTCTTCTTTGTATATTCTATTCCCCTTCTTTCCATTCTACCACTCTTCCTATCTGTGTGAATATGTATATTCCTTTTTCTTTTTCTTCTTGTCTGTTTCATTTGCATTTCTTCTTCTCCTCTTCTGCATATTTCTGTATTAGACTTGAGTCCGTTTCCTTCTGTGCTCTTCCTTGCTGTTTTGTCATTACATATGTCAATTTTTTACCTCCCAAACTTTAATCTTTAATCTATATCGGGGGTTTCTTTCTGTCCCCATACTTTGGCATATGTAATCCTCACTGCTGTCATCATAAAGTTTAGAGGTTTTTCTGTATTCTCTCCTAGTTTTCCTTCTGTATGTTTCTGGTTTCGTCTGAATGTTTATGTTCAATATTTTCTGCATCCTGTTGTGTATTTTGGCCAGTATTCTTTCGCCTCCTTACATAACCACCACATGTGGTAAAAGGACCCTTCTTGCTTACCACATTTCCAGCTGTTTGTATTTATGTTTTTGTGACCCTTTCGGTGTTATATACCACCTAAGTCAGGTCAGGTTTTGTGCAGGTACTTCTGTGAAGTGCTACGACTTGTTTAGAGTCAAACGGTGACTGTCATAATAAAGTATCTGCCATTCAGAATCCTGTAATACAGTCTTGTCACATTTATTATGGCATAATGATATCATTTATCAGAACACAGAGTTCCACACAAGCCATATATTTGTGAGATGGACATCCCATATATAGCCAATGTGTCTATGGTGAGGAATGCAGAGCTACAGATTGCAAAGACATAAAAGGGCATCCACTTTTCCCAGGCCTGTGCTCAATCAAGAGTGGGAAGTCTGTAACCTTCCAGATGTTGCTTAACCCTAACTCCCATCTGTCCTAGACATAGAGCCCTAGCAGTTAATTGGTGTCAAACTGCATTAACTTAACAGTGTAGATGTACTCTGGGACATGTTTTGAGGCAACATCAGACTGCATTAAGATAGAAGATATGAGCTACGAGGAATAACATAAAAGCTAGGAGAGGCTGCAGCAGTTTGCTTTTGCTTGATCTTATTGGAAGGACTAGATTCACAGTGTCGCCGCTATGGACCTCTTCCCTTACCAGATCAGATCACAATATTAATACTAGAAAAATTGACAAAATCAATGACTATAAAAATCTGCAGCAATGAAAACAACAGCATGTTATTGTAGGGCATGCAGACAAAACCACATGATTTGAAGCATCCTTCTAATTGGGAAGTGATGACAGCTCTGACCAAAGCACATGCACATTAGAAGGTTCAAAAGGTAAATTAGGATAAGGTTTTAGGCTTGTAGGTTTATTAATACCATAATTTGAGCTCCTGTAATTTAATTTTACAGGAAATGTTTTTGTGATTATAATTAACTACAGGGATAGTTTTATAAAAACGATTTCTGCTGAAATATGGCACCAATATTTATAGAACACCATTGTGGTGTCACTTCCCCTGAAGGTGTCATGTGGTGAAGTTGCAGCTCATGTGCACCCCTGAATGAACAGGAAACCACTGATTCAACTAAGTGCAAACTATTTTTGCATCCGGAACTCTGTTTGCAGCAAACCAAAGAAACTGAGGACCAAAGTAGAAAGTTGGAGGAAAACCAGGACATTTGAAGAGTGGGTGAGAAAGTGGGCACTCAGAGGATTATTTGGACTAGCCCTGCCAAACTGGGAAGCTTGGAGCCTGCAATGATTAATGAAGTAAAGACAGAAAAGTTGAAATCACAGCTTTGCTGGCAATTTGGAGAGCAAGGTACAAAGAGTGGGATGGGATGCCTTCATTGTGTGTCAACAGTGTGATGCAGCAGCTAAAAAGGCCAATGCGATTCTAGGCTGCATCCATACGAGTACAGTGTCAGGACTGAGGGAAGTATTAGTAATAATAATAATATAATACATTATTTGTATTTCACCCTATCTTCTCTAGGGGACTCTGGGCATTTTCTCCCTCTATTTTCCAGTTGCCAATCATTCTTGTTGCCATAATCTTGGTTTTTTTATGTTTAGCTGCAACCAAGCTTTTGCTCTTTCTTCTTTCACCTTGGTTAGAAGACTCCTCAGCTCCTCCTCGCTTTCGGCCATCAAAGTGGTATCATCTGCATATCTGAGGTTGTTAATGTTTCTTCCAGAAATTTTCACCCCAGCCTTGCATTCATCAAGCCCCGCACATCGCATGATGTGTTCTGCATACAAGTTGAATAGGTTGGGGGAGAGTATACAACCCTGCCGTATGCCTTTCCCAATCTTGAACCAGTCTGGTCAGTTCTGACTGTTGCTACTTGGTCCTTATACAGATTCCTCAGGAGAGAGACAAGGTGGCTTGGTATGCCCCTACCACCAAGTACTTGCCATAATTTCTTATGATCATACTTTACCAAAGGCATAACAAGATCACATGTACTGCTCTCGAGCCAGGGGGACACCTGGTTTGAGAGCAGTACATGTGAAAAGATCTTGGAGTCCTTGTGGACAGTAAGTTAAACATGAGCCAACAATGTCATGTGGTGGCAAAAAAAGCCAACGGGATTTTGGCCCGCATCAATAGGACCATAGTGTCTAGATACAGGGAAGACCACACCTGGAATATTGTGTCCAATTCTGGGCACTACAATTGAAGAGAGATATTGACAAGCTCGAATGTGTCCAGAGGAGGGTGACTAAAATGATCAGGGATCTGGAGAACAAGCCCTATGAGGAGTGGCTTAAGGAGCTGGGCATGTTTAGCCTGAAGAAGAGAAGGCTGAGTGGAGGCATGATGGCCATGTAAAAATATGTGAGAGGAAGCCACAGGGAGGAGGGAGCAAGCTTGTTTTCTGTTTCCCTGGAGACTAGGATGCAGAACAACGGCTTCAAACTGCAAGAAAGGAGATTCCATCCTCACTGTGAGAGCCGTTCAGCAGTGGAACTCTCTGCCCCAGAGTGTGGTGGAGGCTCCTTCTTTGGAAGCTTTTAAACAGAGGCTGGATGGTCATCGGTCAGGGGTTATTTGAATGCAATATTCCTGCTTTTTGTCAGAATGGGGTTGGACTGGATGGCCCATGAGGTCTCTTCCAACTCTATGATTCTATGATTCATGCCTTTCCAAAACGATTCCTGGTTTTCCCAAATGGTTCTGAAGATCCATTTTTCCCCCAAAAGGTTATGGAGATGGCCCTTTTCCAAAACTTCCAACCCGTAGGGCGGAGTGGGGTGCCTCCATCCGCCTGGCAGCTTGGCTCTCCTCCTCCTCCTTTTCTTCTCCTCCTCTGCTCCCATCCGCCCATCTCCTGGCTGGTGGTGACTCAGAGGCAGGCATTGGGTTGAGTTCCTGGGCGGGGCCCCAGAGCCGAGGAGGGAAGTTGGGCGAAGTTGAGAGAGAGAGAGAGAGAGAGAGAGAGAGAGAGAGAGAGAGAGAGAGAGAGAGAGAGAGAGAGAGAGACAGACTCTGCCTTGCTCTTTGGCGCCTCTCCTCCTCCTCCTTCTCCTCCTCCTCCTGGCCCGGCTTGTGGGACCCACAGGACCCGAAGTGCCTTCCTCTCAGCCCCAGACCCGCCATGGCCGAAGAGCAGCCCCAGGTCGAGCTCTTTGTGAAGGTAAGAAGGAGGAGGAGGAGGAGGCATGCTTTTGGCGCGCCTCTCCTTGCCTCTCCTCTCCTCTCTTGGTCGTCTTCCTTCCCCTTTTGCTTTTCTCCTCCTTCTCAATGATGCGCCCTTTGGGGAAGGGAGAAACCAAGAGGGTCCTGCTTCCAGCCTCTTTCTAAGCCTGGACCCTCTCTGCCATGGAGCCCACTGTCTGAGTTCCCACTTGCATTGGAGGAGTCCACGTTGCCAGACCCTGAGAAGAAAGAGAAGGCGTTTTCTTTGACTTCTTCTTCTGCACTTCCTGCCCCCTCCCCATTTCCTCCCTCTGAGAAAGACAACCTCAGAAAAAGGAGCCAGGAGGCCAAACTTCTGTGTGTTGTCTTTCAAAGGACTTTCCATCCTTCTCATAAGAGGTTGGAGCCAGTTTTGAAGGCAGCAGTGAATCCACACTGTGGAATTGATGCGGTTTGACACCACTTAAAACTCCCATGGCTTCAGCGTCAATTCTCTCACACCAGAAGCGACTTGCAGTTTCTCAAGTCGCTCCTGACATGAAAAGAAATATGGTGCTGTTATGGGAATTGTAGTTTGCTAAGGGAACAACCCTGTTTGGCAAAAAAGGAAGAAGAACCTTGGAAAACTACAATTCCCATAAGGTTCTTGTGGGTTTTTTCGGGCTATATGGCCGTGTTCTAGAGGCATTTTCTCCTGACATTTCGCCTGCATTTATGGCAAGCATCCTCAGAGGTAGTGAGGTCTGTTGGAATTAGGAAAATGGGTTTATATATCTGTGGAATGGCTGGGGTGGGGCAAAGAGCTCTTCTCTGCTGGAGCTGGGTGTGAATGATTCAGCTGACCACCTTCATTAGCATTTGAAGGCCTGGCTGAGCCTGAAGGAATCTTTTGTTGAGAGGTGTTAAGATGTGCCTGGTTGTTTCCTCTCTGCTGTTTTGCTGTTGTAATTTTAGAGTTTTTTAAATACTGGTAGCCAGGTTTTGTTCATTTTCATGGTCTCCTCCTACAATTCCCATGTTTCATGGCAGAAAAGTTGGTGTCCAACTGCACCAATTCGACAGTAAGGCCCGGGCAAACTTGGGCCCTAGGGGTGTATCTACTACCTACACCAGGCATGGGAAACTTGGGTCCCTCCAGGTTCTTTGAACTTCAACTCCTACCATTCCTAACAGCCTCAGGCTGAGGGGAAAAGGAAGGGGCCTGAGGCTGTTAGGAATGGTGGGAGTTGAAGTTCAAAACACCTGGAGGACCAAAGTTTGCCCAGGCCTGGTGTAAATAGTAGATACACCCATAGGTTGCATTATATTGCTTTCTTACATGGGAGCAAGCCTTGTTGAGGGTGTACATCTCCATTGTAGAATGAATGAGGTTCAACCCCACTTTAACTGCCATGACTCAATGATGTGGAATCCTGGGAGTTGTAGTTTGCAGAGGCACCAGCCCTGTTAAGGGAAGGCTAAAGGCCCTGTGAAACTACAATTCCAAGGATTCCATAGTATTGAGCCTGCCATGGCTCAATGGTTCGGAATCCTGTGAGTTATAGTTTGCAGAGGCACCAGCCCTGTTAAGAGAAGGCTAAAGTCCTTGTGCAACTACAATTCCCAGGATTCCATAGTATTGAGCCTGCCACAGCTTAATGCTTTGGAATCCTAGAAGTTACAGTTTGCAGAGGCACCAGCCTTGTTAAGAAAAGGATAAAGGTGTTGTGAAACTACAACTCCCAGGATTCCATAGTATTGAGCTTGCCATGGCTCAATACTGTGGAATCCTGTGAGTTGTAGTTTGCAGAGGCACCATCCTGTTAAGAGAAGGCTGACTGTGAGAGCCGTTCAGCAGTGGAACTCTCTGCCCCGGGGTGTGGTGGAGGCTCCTTCTTTGGAAGCTTTTAAACAGAGGCTGGATGGCCATCTGTCAGGGGTGATTTGAATGCAATATTCCTGCTTCTTGGCAGGGGGTTGGGCTGGATGGCCCATGAGGTCTCTTCCAACTCTTTGATTCTATGATTCATTCTATGAAAAGTCTTATGAAGCTACGACTCCCAGGTTTCCATAGTATTGAGCCTGCCATGTCTCAATGCTGTGGAATCCTGGGATTAGTAGTTTGCAGAGGCACCAGCCCTGTTAAGACAAGGCTAAAGATCCTTTGAAACTACAACTCCCAGGATTCCATAATATTGAGCCATGGCAGGGAAAGTGGTGCCAAACTGCATTAATTCTAGATGGAGTGTCAGTAGCAACCCCTATGGAGTTTGGCGAGGATTGTTTAGGCCTCTTTCAGGAGGGAGAAAATCCTTTTAAAATACCCCAGAAGTTTGGAGAGCATCCACATTGCTGAATTATAGCAATTTGACACCGCTTTGACAGTCATAGCTCCATGCTGTAGAATCCTGGGAGCTGTAGTTGGGTGTGGCACCAGAGCTCCTTAGATTTTACAGTCACTGTTTGGATCCTAACCTTAGTGCATCCTTCTCTTTGCTCTCTGACTTTTGGATCTAACTTAGCTTACAGTGTTTCCTTTGCTATAGTGAGAATGTAAACTAGTTAAAACAGTCTAGGTTTTGGAAAAGAAGCCTCTAGTTTGTATCCCCAGAGTTCCCTGTGGTGTCAAACTGCTGCAGCTCTGCAGTGTGGATCCAGTCTTGGTTTGCTTGTTCTCTTAGTCATGCTTGCAGCAGTCTTGATGAAGTCATAGGGATTAGGTTAGTCATCCATGACTTGTCACACTGAGTTCAGTTAATTTAGTTTTCATGTAACTGTCTGGACCCTAAGCCTCATACATGCTTCTCTTTGCCCTTCTGTCCTCTGGATCCAACCCAACTTGCTGTGTTTCCTTTGCGATAATGAGAATGCAAAAGAGTTAAAACGGTCAAGGTTTTGAGAAAGGAGTCTGTCTGTTGTAGTTGCTGAAACAAAGGAACATGCGGTGTGTTTCTGAAGAGGCCGTCCAGTTGGTGACAGCTTGTACAAATTATTTCCTTGCTGCCTAAACAAATCTAGTGGTTTTTTCTTCTTTCTCATTGTTGGGATTTAGACTGAGTTTGAGAGTCTTCAGCTGTTTGGCAATTCAAATACTGTGTTGTCCAAGGCTTTCAGGGCCAGAATCACTGGGTTGCTGTAAGTTTTCCAGGCTGTCTGGCCATGTTCCAGAAGCATTCTCTCCTGATGTTTAGCCCACATCTGTGGCAGGCATCTTCAGAGGTTGTGAAATCCGTTGGAAGTTACGCAAGTAAGGTTTACGTATATATCTGTGGAATGTCCAGGGTGAGAGGAAGAACTCTTGTCTGTCTGAGGCAAGTGTGAATGTTGCAGTTGGCCACCTTGATTAGCATTGAATGGCCTTGCAGCTTCAAAGCCTGGCTTTAAAAATATTTCCCATATTCTCTCTCCCATCCTAAGGTGTATCTAAATTGTAGAAATAATTCAATTTGACTGCCAGGATTTGACTTCCAAGCATACACAGTGGTACAACTCAAGAGAAGCAAAGCCAAGTAGAGAGAAAAGTATGTGCCATCAGGGCCCAGAGTGAATTGAAAACGTACAAATGCCTACTGCATGAAGCATTACTTGTTCATAATACAGGAAGAGGAAAATATCTAGCCTGGAGATGCTGGCACATAGAGGAATATCCCACTGGAAAAGAGCCATTGTTGCCAGTACCCTCCAAATAGTCAGGCTTGCGGCGTTGCCTATGATGGATAGGAATAATGAGAGTTGTAATCCAAGACATATCAATATCACGACATTAGAAAAGTTTGGGTTACCCTTACGTGGCAATCACAATCATGAAATTTATTCATACCAAAGTCTAGCGTTTCTCAACCTGGGGGTCAGGACCCCTTGCGGGGTCTCGAGGGGTGTCAGAGGAGCCGCCAAGGACCATCAGTAAGCACAGTATTTTCTCTGAGTCATTGAGGTTCTGTGTAGGAAGTTTGGCCCAATTCTATTATTGGTGGAGTTCAGAATGCTCTTTGTAGGTGAACTATAAATCCCAGCAAATACAACTCCCAAATGTTAAAGTCTATTTTCCCCAAAGTCCACCAGTGTTCACGTTTGGGCATATTGAGTATTTGTGCCAAGTTTGGTCCAGGGGCATATTGAGTATTCATGCCAAGTTTGGTCCAGATCCATCACTGTTTGGGTCCACAATGCTCTTTGGATGTAGGTGAACTACAACTCCAAAATTCAATGCCCACCAAACCCTTCCAGTATTTTCTCTTGGTCATGGGAGTTCTGTGTGCCAAGCTTGGTTCAGTTCCATCGTTGGTGGAGTCCAGAATGCTCTTTGATTGTAGGTGAATTGTAAATCCCAGCAACTACAATTCCCAAATGACAAAATCAATCCCCCTCAACCCCTCCAGTATTCAAATTTGGGCGTATGGGGTATTGTGCCAAATTTGGTCCAGTGAATGAAAATACATCCTGCATATCAGATATTTACATTACAATTCATAATAGTAGCAAAATTACATTTATGAAGTAGCAACAAAAATATTATGGTTGGGGGTCATCACAACACGAGGAACTGTATTAAGGGGTCATGGCATTAGGAAAATTGAGAAACGCTGCTCTAGGGGTATATCTACATTAGAATTCAAGCATTTTGATAGATTGAAGACAGACTTCAGCCGTTTGGCAAATCAAAAACTTTCCCATATCCTCTCTCCTATCCCAGGACGCAGTTACACACTGGAGAGACAATGCAGCTTGATGCCACTTTAACTTCCATGACTCAATGGTATGAAATCTGGGGAGTTGTAGTTTGGTGAGGTATCAGCACTCTTTGGCAGTGGTTAAACACCTTGTAAAACTCCAAGCACTTCATCGCAGAGAGCCATGCCAATTAAAATTGTGTCAAATTCAAAACAGTAGTAAAATGACAGTTATGAAGTAGCAACACAAGTAATTTTATGGTTGGGGGGTCACCAAAACATAAGGAACTGTATTAAGGGGTTGTGGTATTAGGAAGGTTGGGAAACACTGCTCTACCTAATCAGGATA